GGATCAAGGGGGTGTTAGTGCTCACAGTGGGGCTTTTATTTACTCTTTAGTGCAAATGTATGGAGAATAAACATATGTATAAAGCATATGTATAAAGGCCCATCTACAATAAGCCAGTAGAGGAAGGACAGAAATTAGAATTGAACCCTTTTTTAAAAACATAAACATACTATCATTTTTATATGAAAAGATGGCACGGGGGTCTAGATCTCTATAGTTCCATTGGAGGTGATAATATGCCTGGTACTTATGGTTCTTACTCTCCCAGAAAAGACAGAATAAATGAGATCACCTCCACAGATCCAACCAGGCATACTTCCAAGGTTCCAAGCTACAGGCAGAGATGCCCTTAGAACAGGGCAGTTTGGCTTTCTCTCAGACCAGGAAATACATAAAATGATTCGGCAATTCACAGGCCATTGTGGAAACTTGACGGCTACTCTCATGGGTGGTCCAACCCTGTTTGTAGGGTCACAGTCACAGCATCCACACTATTCAAAGCTCTTGCATAATAAACATTCTTATGAAAGATGCAACAGGCCATTTTATGATGTAGTGAGGTGCCCTTCACAGGTAGAATTCAAGTGGAGGCTGGATGCTCAAGTCAAAGGCACTGGAGAAGACATTTCCTGCCCTCGACTGGAAGCTTCCTTCCAGCTCGGAAACGCTCTAATTTATTTGTAAATCATCACTGGCAGATGGGATGGAGGGTAGTTGTGTCATGAGACAAGCTATACTGAGAGCCAAATGTGATACAGGAGTCCATCAAAGGAGCCTGAAAGCCGACAGTCTTTTTGGAGCCAAAGAACAAAGAAAACTTTATGGCTCTATCTTCTGCCATAAATGCTCAATCCTGTAACATCCATGTCTGTTGTGGGTGGAGTCAAGAGCTTTGAGCACTGAACTGGAGTCCATTGGGGACGCAGGAGACCATGGTTCTCAGAGGAATGACAACTGGACAACAGCTATCTCCAATCATTGATCTGGTGTTGGAAGGTAGATGACTCCCTTTTGCTCTGAAAAGGAGACTTTTCAGTCAGATATGTGCATTTTTCCTTATAGCTCAAAAAAAATTATGAAATGTTCCGCAAAATCTAAGAAGCTGGCATTGACACTTTTAGTCTGCATTGTCAAGATTCTCTCAGTACTCGACAGATTTTAACTCAAATTCACAAACTCCACAAGATAAAAAGCAGAAACTCACAGTGTGTATCATTCTTGAGAGGAGTGTCAGCAATTCTCATTTATGGATCAGGATTACTGCTGTATTTTATTTATAAAGAAAACATGAGAATGACCTACTAACTCTCTGAGTTGATTTTCTAGGAAAGGGGTTGGTTTTTACCTTGGTCTAATAACATGCTTTATACCGTATCATTTGAATTGGGGTTGAAGTGTGTGGTAACAAAGCAGCACCAAACCCCTGGCCCCCACTGGGTTCACACCCATATTCTAGGTCTCATAGACATTAGGCTGTGATCACTTTGAGCACCTACTGAAGCCTCGGGGGTGGGGGGTCTGGGAATGACCACACTAGACAGCAGGGATCACATCTGTCTTTTGCATTGCTACATCCCAGCATCCAGTCAGGGCCTAGAACATAGTAGGTATTTAATACATATTTATAGAATGAATGAATTTTCCCCCCAAGGTATCAAGAGCCTGTCTCTCGCCCATTTATCCTTCCCCCTTTCTTTCTCCCAAGTCTCATTTTCCATGTCTACTCTTCAACATTTCAGGTACTAAAAGATGAATTTAGAAGGAAATGGCCTTTCATATGATTGGGGCAGAAAAATGTTTGTCAAATGGGAAAACTTACTGATACCTCCAAACAAAGGGCAAAATTAAAAGTCAGCAGTAATTAATAATATAGTTTGGAAAAAGACGAATCCAGATCACTCTATCTTCTCTGACCCCGCTTCTAGGGGGACAGTTCATCTGGACAGGAGTTGAACTACTCTCTTGATGTCAGGCATCACCTCACCTGTGAAACAGACCCCTCTCCTTACAAGCATTATCCCTGGTGTGTGTTCCCTGTGTGGCGGGAGAGGTGTTCCAAGTCCTTCTGCAATCACAAAGTGAGGCCCAGCCCATTCCTAGATGGAGCTGAGAGGCAGGTGCAGATACTAAAGCTTGTGGAGCCACAGGAGCAGCCCCTCAGACCCTTCCGTGTGCCTCTCACCTCGGTGCCTTCTTCTCCAGACCAGGACGCCAACTCCAGCCAGGGCAACGCCAAGGACAATGGTCCCAGGGACAGCTTTCATGACCAGAGCGCTAACTCCCCACTCTGAAAGCAAGCACATGAGGAAAAAGCCCTAAGTCCTCCTCCCCTTCTATGTTAACTTTTGGGCACTTATATCCCTGTGATCATCAGGGAGCTAACACCATTTTTCTTACTCTTGTTTCTCGCTTCACAGCCCCAGGTAGGGCAATAATCTAAAACACAGGAACAGCAGTTCTCAAAGTGGGGTTCCAGGGGTCCTCAAGACTCTCAGAGGATCCACGAGGTTTAAGCCATGATTCCCCACCCCACCAACCCCCGCTTTTTTTATCTCAACCTCTCACATGTCCACAGTGGAGTGTTTTAGAGGCTACATGACATCATTGCTCTGATGGTGAACGGAACCAGTGCTTGGGTTTTTCTGAGTTAAAAAAAATTTAAACAAAAATTTTAATTTGTAATACAGTAAAGAGCAATAGATATAACCCATATAAACAAATGCTCTTTGGGGTCTTTAGTAATTTTTACAATTATAAAAGTTTTTATGAGTATAAAGGCGCCCCAAGACCAAAGAAGGAAAGAACCTCTGATTTCAAAGACCCTTTCTAAGGCCCACAGTGATCCGTGCTTGCTGCTAACCCCCCTGCCTCAGTCTCAGTCCCCAGACAGCCACCACCTGGTCCTTACCCTGGGGGACTTGGAGAACCATCTGGACGTCACAGTGCTCCACGTGACAGGAATAAAGGTCACTGTTCTCAGAATCCATCTCAACTGATACCCAGGTCTGGTAGGTCCCATCCCCACTGGGAAGAATGCCTCCAAAATCCATTTCCTGGAGTATTTCTTCACCGTTTTTCATCCAGATCATGGAAATTTCGGGGGGATAAAAGCCATAAGCTCTGCAGAAAAGAGTTGTAATCCCTGGAAAAGTTTCTTTGCGACTTACTCTGACCAGTGGGGGCTCTAGGAAAAAGCAGGTAAAGTTAAACAGAAATATGTACTGAACATACAAATATTAGAACTTGATGACTGGGTTTCTCAATTAATTTTCTTTATTGCAGGAAACATCAAAAACCAAGAAAGGCCCAGAACCCAGGCTCATCAACAGCAAACTTATTTATTGTGTACTTCCTGCTAGGGCAGTGTGCTGGAGAATAATGAAAGTGGAACGGAGCCATGTAACTGAGCTACAAAACGTGTTAAGTGACTCTTCATGATAAGTAATTCAGCAAAAGGCTGGAGATCAGAACTCAACACTCTTCTTCCAATTCTGTGCTCATGCAAACAGATATCAAGCCGTTTCAGCTCAGCTTTGGTGCTGAATTGCCTTGTGTACTCAGGCTGGTACTTGCGTGATTACTGTTTGTCTGAATGTTTTTGTCGCTCCCCCATCCCCCCAATTCATCCTAACCCTCAAAGGTGATAGTATTAGGAGGTGGGGCCTTTGGGAAGTGCTGAACTCATGAGGGCAGAACCCTCAAAAATGGGATTAATGCCTCATAAAAGAGGGTCCGAGAAATCCCTAGCCCCCTTCTAACGCGTGAGGACGCAGCAAGAAGTCAGCAGCCTGCAACCTGGAACAGAGCCCGCACCTGACCAGCCCTCATGCTGGCACCCTGATCTTAGACGCCCAGCCTTCAGAGCTATAAGAAACAGATTTCTGTTGTTCGTACATTACCCAGTCTGTGGTATTTTGTTGTAGCAGCCCAGATGGACTAAGACAGTGATTGTCATCAGACAAAAACATAATCGGTCACATGATGGTGATGCACTTGGAGGGGCTATAGAAATTCCTATCACAGAGGGGCTCACACAGTGACAACAAAGACTTGTCCATTTGTGGCCTGGCTTCCACCTGACCATTCTGCTCACTCCCCATGTGGTGCTGTCCTTTATGTTTCCCTGACACTGGGTCACATCCAAACTTGAGCCACACAGAGCCCAATGCCATGCCCGGGGGAGCTGCTTCCGGCTTGTCTCTAAGACTCGCTTCCTTACCCCACCCGTGCTATCTGCCACCCTCATACACCTCAACAACACCTTCCTTTTCTGTTTCGTGAGAAAAAGGCTTTCCAACATTAAAAAGTCCACATAAACGCCACCACGAGAGAGATTCTGCCTTTTGGCCGTGCCTGTAAGAAATGATCACAGGTCCTTTCCTAGCAGTGGGTTTTGACCAAGGGGTTGAGACCCCACTAGGACACTCATGATAGACAGAGAGGAGGCTTAGAAGGGGGGCAGATACACTGAAGTCACTTCCCACATACCCTAGGTGCCCAAGCTCCCAGTTTCTCATTTTATCCAAAGAGCTCCGCACCTCAAAGAGGATCAACAGGATTACTATTAACCCTCAGATCCCAATTCATCCCATCTTTGTCCCAGTTCTCTACCTTCTCCCCAGTGCTGGATTCACCAAAACAGCAAGCCAGGCAACTGGGGGTTCTCTGTGTGCAGCCAAAGGCTTTGCCACTCATCAAGATGAGAAGTGGAGAGACTCACATGGCCCTTCTTCAGGCCTGGCTAGCCTCGGCCTAAAATGTCTCATGCCACCCCAAGTTGGCCATAGGCTTCAACTAGATCCTGATCTGTCAGACATTCTTCAGTCTGGAGACAATAACAACATTAAATGTGTGAACAGAGATCTACAGTATACACAGAGCCTCCATGTACATTATTTCGCATCAGTTTCTGTGAGGTAGGCATATCACGCCTGTTTATTTTACTCAAGGTTACGGTTTTGTTGGCCTAGCATCTATTTGCCCCATTTTTTCCTGATAACAAGAACCCCATTCTCCTGACAAACACATGCTAGATACTGGAAAATTAGTCTACCCCACCCCAACATGTGATTCTGTTAAGAGATGCCAATCTTAATCCTGCCACCTAAACATAGCCCAACTGTGTGTCGTGGCTATTCTCTCTTCGCTAGCCCCCAGATATAGTCTCTGACCTTCCATGCCCTGCTCTGTGCCCCAGGAGGCTGTGCTCTTCAGACCACTTCCAGGCCTCCCTTGCCCCCAGCTTCTGGCTGGGTCTGGCCCCTGGGTAGAGCATCCTTAGCAAAATAGCATTGACCTGGGGAAGTGAGTGCCGGGGGTCTTGTCCACCAGTTCCCCAGCCACTGCAGTCTGCCAGCGGTTGTGTTTCTCCCAAGCCACCGCTCTTGTTAGGAGGTTTTCCCCGGGTACCAGACCTTGCTGGGCTCTGGCAACAGCAGTTCCTCCCCTGTGCCTTCAGGTCTAGGGAGTGTAATGGCTTTCCTCTGTTACAAATCTCTAGGTCTTTCACTATCCCTTACTGGTTTTATCAAGCCTTACTGTACTCTGTAAATAACCTCATTATTGAATTCTCCTCAGTTAAACCATTTTGAGTATGTCATTTAGTTCTTGCCAGGACTCTGTTACCCATGGCCAATCTTAGAAACTTATCCTGATGGTCACAACGATTAGTGCAAGAGGTGGCACATGATCCAACTGAGGCCAACCGGAGTCCTCCTGTGATAAAACAAATTTTTTGTAACTAGAGCTGGGAGAGAGAAGCCCATTCTTCTAGAATGGTGACGCTAGGAGGATACAAGCTTTGTGTTGGCTGCCACGTCCTCACCTAGAAGAAAGCCATTCAAATCTTGGTTTTAATTCCTCGAGTCCCCACACTGCCCTGATTCTTGCCTTACAAACAGCTCCCCTCTTTGTGTTTAAGCCAGTTTGAGTAGGTTTCTGTTACCCGCAACCATTACAAGTAAGATGGTTATTCAGCTAGTGAGTGGGGGAGTTAAGCTCAAACTCTAGTTATCTGCCTCCAAGGCTGACACCCTTAGAAAACTAGTCCATATTCATGGATAGGCCAGATGCCTCCCAAGGGCCCCACAGCTCTGGAAAGCCCCACCATTAAAGACCACTCCTGTGGGAAAAGGCTCATTGGTCTAGAAGGTTTCCATGGCATGACACAGACATCATTCATTTTGAGTAAGATTATAAGTGAAAGTTCTGTACTAATTAAAAGTTGACCAATTGTATCCTATCTTTACTGTTTAACAGGAGCTTTTTACTGGAAGAAATCTTATCATAAATCCTTTAGTAAAGCAAAGATCCTCTGTTTGTTCTTTGTGAAGTCCAGGTTTTCACTCATATTGGTGTTGTGGGAGCCCTTAGTTAATAAACAACTTGTAAGAATTGTTCTACTACCCAAAGTATTTCCCAACCGATCACTGGCAGGAGATGGAAGGATTTGTGTCGCTGGCTTCCCCCAAAAGGAGGGGGCCATCGAGGTAATTCACTCTGTTAAGACAAGTGAAACTGTTGACTCTTGTCAAGATACTGATAAAAAGTAGCTAGGGAAAGTTTTCACAGGGGCTACAGACCATAATAGTCCAATGAACAAGAAGGATTTCAGAATAGGGTGAATATAACCTAGATTAGAGGAAGTTGTACATAAAACCACAGGTTCTGAGGATGCGAGGACAAGGTATTCTCCCTTCCTTTTACCTGTCCTTTGTAGGGTATCTTTCCCATACTCCAGGAATCTCTTCAACCAGGCGATACATTCTTTTTCCAGCCAATTCTTCTGATAATGTAACTCATGCCGATTGGCCTCCCACGCCCTCTTGGTGATGTGAGCTACATTATCTACAGCCATCCAGGAGAGCGTATTTTTATTGAAGATAATGAAGTCCTCGCCGTCATACGCATACTGCAGAAATCCCGTGGCGTTTCCATCTTCTAGTAACTCACAGCCGATCATCCTCTGATAAGTGTGAAGCCCTGGAACATACGCACAGGCCAGAAAGGGGTCTCAACAGGGGCGTGGAGGTAGGTGCCCAGATGATGTGACTGGGGACACGGCTGGAAGCACCCTCTGCCCCAGAATACAGCACCCCGCAGGCCCACCCCAGCACTGCTGTCTCCAGGAGGTTCCTGTGACATAATTCCATCTATCAACAGATATCTGTGGCATACCTACTGCATGCCAAGAACATGATACTTCCTGCCTTGGGGAGTTATCCTATCATGGGAATAATTCATTGATAAACTTTATAGGACAGTGGACGATGGGGAGCTATTCAGGAGCCAGAAATATCCCTGGAAAAGTCAGTGTCATCAAACATGATGCATAAGAGAGCAGCTCACTAAGGCTGGCCACCAGGAAGTGAGGCCCAGAGTGAACACATGTAGATGGGAATGGAGAAAATACAGGTCAGAAGCTCGAATGAGAGTACAACGGGGATACGGGGGGCACAGGACAAAGGGCTCCTGGGGACAACAGGCAATTTGGAAGATGCACCAGGCAGATGGCAGGCACTGAACCCCATCAACCAGATTGTCCAGGCTTTGCCAAAAGCCACAGACAGTGCAATTCGCAACTGCTCACACGTGCTGTCAGCCCAGGGACCGCTCTGCCAGGGTGGGGACTGGGGGGAGTGGGGGGGGGGACAGCCTGCTGCTGCGTTCACCACCTGAGTGATTGTAGTGCCTCTGCAGGTGCCTCAGCTCCACCGTGAACATCTGCTGCCAGCCCCTCAGCAGCTGAGTGTACCTCTCCCAGTGATCAGGGGCGAGGTTCTCCGCCATCCACGGGGCCCGCGGCTCCTTCAGCTGAGAGACGCTGTCGTATGTGGTGATGGGATGAGAGTCCACATACCCCACTGAAATAAATTCAGGGATCCCATGGCCAGGATCTGAGACGCCCAGGCGAAAATATCGCAGAGAGTGAGTCCCTGGGAGGGAGGCAAAGAGGGAAGGTCGGAGTCACAGACCATCTACACCCATACGCTGCCCTCCCTCTAATCCCCACACCAGTGCTCTGTGTTCTGCTACATCCGTTCTTCCTGTTACAGAATCAGAGCCCTAGGAACTGGGGGTTGGAAAGGACTCGAGAGCTCTAGCCTAAGACTTGGAGCCTTTTCTGTTCAGGTTTGGGAAACAGGATGAAATTTTACAGGTAATCTCAACTTGTACGTGAAGGAGTAAGTGCCGCTCTGGTCTGCGGGGGAAAGGTCCCAGGACCACTCACTGGGCCACCGGGTTTGCGAACACTGATAACCCAACCTCCTATTTTACCAATGAGGGCTGTGAGTGGATAAATGAGGGCCCCCACTACACCCGTGTGTGTGCACATACACACACCCAGGTATCTGGGTACAGCCGTCTAGGCAGAGGGACTGTGCCAAGGTCCTGAGGCAAGGACATGCCCGGCGTGTTCCAGGAGCAGCAGGGAGGCCTGTGGCTAGAGCAGAGGGAGTGACGGGAAAAGAAACAGGTAGGACTTGCTTCCACAGTTATTCATAGGAAAAAAAAACCTCAGAGAAATCAAGTTCCAGGCAAAGAATGTGAGAGAAGAAGGAAGAAGAAATTTTAAAAAAGAGACTGTGTTACTGAGCTAAGCTGGATTGGACAGAACTTCCCTTGAAACCTGAGGCTCCTTTTATGACGTCAGGGGCCTACATCCCTAGTACATGCCAACAAGTAAAAAAAAAAAAAAAGGTATTAATAACTTGGGGCATTACTGCTCAACGGGCGGATTTATTGATTTATTCTAAGTATCACTGACATGATTGCCACACAATAAATATTTATAATTCTCGTAGTTTCACTTTCTTATAAAAGTATCACTTTGTAAAAATCTGCATTATCCAGAGTTACCAGAGGTAAACAGAGAGAAATATGGTCTGTGGACAGTGCTGTCCGAGTCCTTTCCTCCAGCCTCAATCGCGGTCGAATTCCTGGTCTCGGAAAAGTGCTCCCTGGGCTGGCCCTGACTTCCTATACTGCTTGGCCCCTGAAGACCGGCCTCCATCTGCCGGTCACCTGCCCCTCCACCCCTCGTGCAGCTGCGGCCTGGCTCTGCTCCAGGATGCCACAGCCCTCTCCGCTTCGTTTGCCTCGGGCCCAGTTACCCATCTGGTGTGTCCACAGGTATGAGTCACGCTTGCTCCTTAGCTGGCCTTCCACAATACGACCTCAGCTGTGATGCGAGGTTGGTGGACAGATGTTATGTCAGTAACTCAGAACAGCAAAGGCACGGGAACGTCTACAGGGTCCCCTTTCTCTCGTGATACGCTAGGCCTTGTGATCATTTATAGCCTCTGGATATACTGCCCGGATGATCCAATTTATAGTACGACGGAGGTTGCATCATTGGAAAAGACTTATATTTCATCGTTTTTGATCTACTAAAATGGCAATTTCATATGCTTCCATCTAAGAATCTTCTGATTCTTTCTTCTTGTTCCAATAATGATGAAATTAGGTTTCTCTCTTCCTTTCCATGAACAGATTTATCAGCATCAAACCACTTATTGAACTGAAATCGACATTTTAGGATTCGGTCTTCTGTCCAGGCCAGTCCAGCTGCTTCTCAGAGGGCATCTGCTGCCCTGTCCCAACAGACTCCGACAGACATGCTGGGAAGCCTGAGTGCCACAACCAAACCACTTTCACCAGAGGCAGTGGCTACGTAATGGCCTAAGTTATGGTCCCTTTCTACTGTAGATTTAGTAGTTGGCCATTTTTACAAAAGGCAGTGAAAATCACTGGTTATAAAATAATTGGTAAAGTGTTTTCAGGCATTCTTCCATGGGGGGCAATTTTTATTTATTGGTATCTACCATGTACAAGAAATTGTGAGGCAATGTCAGGAAGAGAAATACAAATCAGACACCAGTTCATCCTTCCAGGAACTTACAGTATTACAGGAGAACTAAAGCACGTAGCATCAGTAAATACAGTGCAGTGACACATGGCAGCAAGCAGTAAGTGCCACCAAAGAGGTGCCAGCTCCAGCGGCTCAGAGGAGAGCGAGCCTGCTCTCACGTGAAGCAAGCCGGCAATGTTCTGAGGAGGCGGTGACAAACCTTCCATGAAGTTGGACCTTCCGTGAGCTACGAAAGGGCAGCAGCGCCTGAATCATAACCATGAGAGCTCATTTCTTTACTGAGCACATGCCATGTGTTCCGTATCAGGTGAAGCCTTTGATAAACAGGAGTTCCATGTACTCCTCATAGCAACCCTGTGAGGTGGGTTTTTAAATTCCCATTTCACGGCCAGAAGACAGGGACAGAGAGATGAAGAAAACTGCCCAAGACTATCCTTAGGACCCATTAAGTAGAGGAGCCAGGAATCGCACTCTCCTCTGGCAGATGGGAGGCCCCTCTGCGTTAGGACTACCCAACAGGTCCTCAGGCAGGGGCACTTCCCCCACCCTGACTCTATTTCAGGCTCTTGGCCCCATCCGTTGCTCTCTCCCGCCCCCTGGTGTCAAACATGACTCACTGTCACCGGTTTCCCATCCCAGGAGGCCCAGGCTCCAGACCTTCCCACAAACTGGCTGTGAGCCCTGATTGGCTCACCAGGTCAACAAAGTCCTGATTATCTGTTGGCCCTCCCAGGCAGCCTGATGCCTTCATACAGTCAGAATGATTATAATTCCTGGGAACCACTCTTTGGAATTTCAGGCACCGTGGGAGTGAAGGGGAGAGGCGGATGGTGATATTTTTAGTCAAGAGGGACCCTTGGACACTTCTCAAACCATGCAGTGATGTGGGTGGTCCTATGGGCAACAAGAACAGCTAGGCCCTCTCCTAACCTCCTAAGTACAGGAGCTTACTGAGGGCCTCGGAGTGCTGAATGTGACAGTTTGCCTTTTTTGTTCCTCTTTTGAGGCTACCCTTTTGGGGGTTACCAATGTCTCCTTTTGTATAAGTTTTATTCTTTTCTGAATTTCAGTAGACACAGTCCTAGTTGCTAGGGATGCAGCAGTGAACACATCAAAATCCCAGCCCTCTGGGCTAATTTCTAGAAGGAAGACTGACAATAGATACATATATAATTCAAGATCAGGTAGTGAGACAGGTTATGGAAAAAAAGCAGAGAAAGAGATAGAGAGTGTGAAGAGGGCTGGTCTTTTAGATAGAGGGGCCAGGAAAGTCCTCTCTGAGCAGGTGGCATTTGTGCAGAGATGGGGAACGAAGTGAGAAAGCGAGCCATTGGAGAAGAACCTTCCAGACAGAAAAGCAAGTCCACATCACAGAGGGTGCATGGTCATGTGTTTGAGGAATAGCAAGGAGACCACTCCAGGGCCATGCAGAGCTTTGGAGAATGAATGAATGAGCTCTGGCGGGGTTTTTTCTCCCCTCAGTACTTCTTGTATACAATGATGACCACATGTCTCATATTTCCCAGAAGGCTTTTTCAATTTTGTGAATTTTATTGTTGCTAAATGATTTATTGACATTGTAAAAAAAAATGTGACTTGATACATATATTCTTGAAAGGTTTTCCATAATAAATATAAATTTGGACATCAGAAAGAATGTCCCTTGTCATCTGTTTCAATTTGGGTTTCATAAAGCAAGTGCTTAAAGAGCCGTGCATTTGATCTTTAACTCAGGCCCCCTCCCTCCAGTTCTTGGCAATTCTCTGGGGTCAGAAGATGGTTAAGGTCAATGGATTTTAGTGAGAATAGACCGATATGCCAACTAGTCAGAAGAAAATCTACAAATTATTTGAATTTCTCGGATTTAGATAGATTCAATGTCAACCAAGAAGAAGAGGGCCTTTGGGGAGTAAAACATTGTCTTGGAGAAATTTCTGCTGCGTGTGCCTTGGCAACAGCTCCATGGAAACAGACTGAAGTCTAAAAAAGTCTATAGCGAATGCCCATATTTTCTCATGTTAACTCTTTGAACTCAAGGTCATTTCTAAACAGATCGTCTGTAAGTCTGTCTTTTAACCCTAGCTTGGTTGTCAATTTCGGGGGCTTATCCATCATCAGGCCTTATTTGTGAAGGACTCCTTCATTCGTAAAGCAGAGTGACATAGCAGATTCATACCTCCATAGAATTCTGAATAATATCAAGAAACTGACCATGGTGATTTCACGATTAAACACACAAACCACCTGTGGCTATGCAAGAGAGAGCCTATGCGTGCCCCTAGCCTCATTCCACCCACCCACACCACCAAGTCCGCTTCACACAGGCTGAAATGAAGAACAGGATGAGATGTAAAGCACGAAACATCTTTTTTTTTTTTCATACAAATTCTGCAACTACAGTAAACCACAGTTGCAAATTTGTAGTCATTATGACTGCCCAAGTTCTCTGTGGCTCACGGTCAGAGAACTTCAATTTCTCAGGAACATTACCTTTGAACATAAATTCACTCAGGAGGCATTTATTAAGTACCAACAGGTCACTAAGTAGTGTTGGGGAAATGAAGAGGAGAAAAAGGAAGAGATGTCTCCCTGGCTTTAAGGCGAGCCTTGAAGGAAAGATTTTTATAAATAGGAAATTAAAAAGCTGTGAACAGGGCCGGCTGAGTGGCTCAGTTGGTTAAGAGCTCGCTCAAGTGTTTGAGCTCTGAGCAACAGCGGTTCGATGCCCGGCCTGAGCTGAGCTGCCGCTGAGCTGCCAACCGGTGGCAGGAGGGCTCACCTTAAAAAAAAAAAAAAAAAAGCTGTGAACAGGAGCCATGGGAGTACAAAGGGAGAAGCAGTCTCCTGCAGGCTATGGAGTCAACGAAAGCAACACACTGCAAGTGGCAGTGGAGTTATCTTGACCTCTCCTGGAGTTGTGACCCCAAACACTCCGGAATCTCCTCCCTGCATTTCCACAATGAGAAGCTCCTACTCGGGGCCAGCATTAGGCACAAATACCAAATAGACTGAGTCTTTTTTCATAACCCTGGCTCCCTTCCTTGTCAGCAACCCTGGGTGCTCAAGAATTCTTAGTCAGGGTCCTGGCAGGAAACAGCCTTCACTCCAGATGAGTCACATGAAGACACTTGAAGAAGTGACTCCTTGCAGAGGCATGGGCAAGGTTAAGGCGAAAGTGAGGGATCACGAGGCACCCATAAGCTAGCAACGATGGGAAGCCATTACCACCCCTAGGGATGCAGAGATTAGAGCAGCAAATAGCGCTAGCAAAGCCGAGTGGGAGCTGGAAGCATCAAGATGGGGCTATTCAGCGAAACTATATTACAGAGGGACACAGCTACCACTGGAGACATTACAGAAAGAAGGGGAGGAGGAAGACAAAACCCCAACCTTTCCTCCTTGCTCTCTAATCTCTCTCCTTTCAGTGTGTCCCACTGGGTAGACATCAGCCTGCAAGAGAGACTGGGTGATGTAGTCTGTGTCAGTGGCCGTCATCCTCCAGGGCACAAGACATGACAGAGAAGGAGGACGTCTAAAGAGTCAAAAGGAGAATAACCAACACAAAGTGACTTTCCCTACCCTTTATAGCTGACTGGTTTTATTTCGCATTCCACGCATTACCAAAGTGCCAAGTGGCCACATCCAGAGGCCCTGTGACATGGTCGAAAAGCCCTCGACTGTGGGCTAGGTCTGTGTGTACTTCACACTCTGTTCGTTGTATGAGCTGAGCCAGTCTCTCTGGGCTGGATTTCTTAGCCTGCCACAGGGGTTAGTGAGGTCATCACTTGAAAGATTACGCTTAAGGGATATTGTGTTTGTATTACTGGAGAGTTTTTCAAGGATCAAATGCAGGCAATATATAAAGAAGCTTTTCACCTTCTGGAAATATCACCTTTTCCTCCCTCCTCCCTTCCTCTTTCCATTATCCATCTCTTGCCCTTATTCCCAATCTTTCCTATCTCTGACTTAACTGGTGGGACTTTTCTGGATTAAAATTTCTGTAGAAGCAGGACCTAAGTTTATCTTGCTCACTGTCAGATCCTTCAAAGCACCTGGCACGTGGTAGGCCATCAGCCAGCCTTTCTGTAATGAATACACAGATGATTTGAAAGAGCTCCTTCCTGTCATTTCATGAGTCACTGCCTACGGCGGTGGCTGAGATTGAGTTCTAGACACTGCCCACCAGCCTGCCTGGCAGTGCCAACCTGCAGCTGGAAGAGCAGTTGGGCAGAGAAGCCTGGTGCGTCCGGCCCATGGGCCTTCTCATGTTTTGGGAGCAACTGAAGGCACGGCTTCCCCAGTGACATGGGCCCCTGAACCACGAAGAACTCCTCCTCTGCTTAGGTGACATCTCTTCCATCCGGTACCCAAGTCCAGAGCCATGCTTTTTATCTTTCCGGGATCTTTTGTTACAGGTAGGGCTTGTGGCGAGGAAGAAAACCATCAATAATGCTGAACGGTGGTTCTGTTCCACTGTTCAAGGCCCCTGGGACTCTGATCACATCCCCGCGAGACTAAGCTAGCAAAGGGGAGAAACAAAAGTAAAAGAAAGGATAGAGCTGAAAAGAAGGGGGGCAATGCCGAGAAGGAAAGTGGGGAAGTCACCCGGAGGTTCTTTCCAGCATGGCTTCCACCCTCTCAGGAGGTTGGTGGCACACATGAACTGGAGAACAGCTAGTCCGTAGCTCCTACAAGTCCTGGGTTTAATAAATACACTTTTCCGCCCCCGGCTTCTTCATTTCACCATAAGTTTTAGGAGGACAAGCTCTTACCCCTACGCTGCCTCAGCTTTGCAGTTCGAAGCAAAGAGAACTTGGGATACTCACGGGCAACGCTGTGCTTCACCGTTAATACAATAAGGAGAGGTAACAGGAGCACCATCAGTCCCTCTAAAGTCCTTTCCTTTCAGATTCTTTTAACCAAAACATCGACAAGCCCCCGCGGATCTTTCAAGAACCTAGACTCCGCCTGCTCCTCACAGATTTAGCGACTGCGCGACGCTCAGGGCTCTCTCCCAATAAAAATAGGGACTGTATGCGGTGTCATCAGTTGCTAGGTAGAATAGAGAGGGACGAAAGTGCTGACTGCCTTTCGTGATAACTTCTAACCAATTGCTGTTTTCAGACACTGCTTCCTTTTTTTTTTTTTTTTTGGTGTGCCTCTTGACACTGTTCCCAACCTTTTTTAAAAAAACGATTATTAAATTCTTTTTCAATGACAGTGAACATACAATATTATGTTAGTTTCAGGTGGCCCTGTTCCCAACTTTTAAATATTTATGGAGCACAGCTATGTGCAAGGAGCAAGGGAACACAAAGATTAATCATACCTGGTCCCTCAGAGAGCTCAAAAGGAAAGAAGCCTTTGCTTCTCTCGCCCCGGGTGGATGAGAAAGATTCACACAAGGTTTCCAGGACTCGGAACTCCTTGCTCTGACTTCCTACAATGCTATAGCCCATATGAATGACGTGGCACGTATCACTTAGACTGTCTTGTCATTCTTAGCTAAGGTCTGTCCTCCCTGTCGCTCTCACACCTAGCACAATAAGCTCAAACAATGTTTGTTGAATAAAGGAGAGCAAGAAAAAGGCCTACACGAAGATTCTGAGAGGCATACACTTGGCTTGCTTACTCAGCAATCCCCAGGATCAAGCTGTAACTACACTGTCATCAGGAGAGCATGACAAGTTGGGAAACAGTAGCTTACACTTGTGCAGGGAGGTGGAGGACAGGCCCAGACAAGAAAGCGGAAGTAGAGGTGACTGGGAGATAAGTGGAGGCAAGGCCATGAGGCAGGCCTTGGTTCAGGGACCTGGGTTTGCATCATAAGGGTCCTTACAAGAGGCAGGCAAAAGTGTCAGAGTCAGGGAAGATGTCACAGTGGCAGCAAGGTGGGAGTCGTGCCATTGCTGGAAGGGAGACAAGGCATTGCAGGCAGCCTCTAGAACTGGACCGAGAAGGAACAGATTCTTCCTAGAGCCTCCAGAAAGAATGCAACCCTGCCCACACTTTGATTTTAGCCTGTGAGACCCACTTTTGGACTTCTGACCTCTAGAGCTATAAGAGAATACATTTATGTTGTTTAGGTCACTAAGTTTGTGGTAATTTGTTATTGCAGCAATAGGAGGTTGTCACTTGTTGGGATTTCATGGCACTATTATCACATACACATAATCACTAGTAGTCCTCTTAAGCCATCCCAGGTAAACCTCTAATTTAAGAAAAGACAGTGGACTCGCCCTGCCGTCTAAACTTGAAGTTAAATTCTAAAACCTGCCCTATGTAGAAATCCTGGAGCTGCTTCTGAAGATTATGTATGTATGTTGCTCAGCACAATGTCTGCTGCCTAGTAAGTAATTGTTACTAGCAATCATTGTTACTATTATTGTTATTCACTACTTTACCACCAGAGTGTGGTTTTTCCTTCCCTGTGCACCAACAAATTCATAGAGATGGTAAAGATCTTACCTGTCTTCCTACAATGGTTCAAATTCACTGTTTCGTCAAGAGGTTCATTGAATTCCAATAACATATTTTAACTTTTAAAATGCACCAACATCCATTCGTTTATACATTTCTAGCTTGCCTTACTCTAAAAATCACTTAAAACGGCTAACTTTTGTTGTGGTTTTGCATATGTGGTCACGACTTTCTCTCTTCTCTTTAAAAATTTTTTTTTTTTACTTTTTGTATTTCTGATTATCCAAGTGAACATTTCATTGTGCCAAACTTCAAATAATTTATTTTTTTCTATGTATACAAATGAACAGAGTTGAAATGATATCATATATACACTTTTGTCTTGCAATCACATACTTGAAAATAACATTTCCAAGGACCATCAAGTGGATATTCTATAAATTCTTAATCACTTTTTAGTGTCGATATATAAGTTAACTAGAATTCCTTCTTATTTTAAACCAATGTTTAGAGGGTAAGGATGGAGGTGCTGGTAGCAACCAAGAAGAGGGAAGGAACCATGATCAGAGTGTGTTTATAGGGGTGTGGATACTTCCTGTGGTTGGAGCTGGGAAATGCAGACAGTCAGGGCTGGCTTAGTGGAGGCCAGTGTGAGTGAACGTTTCCTGGAGTGTTGCAGAGCATGCATATGCATTTCAGGGCTTTTAAAAGACTGAGATAATCATGAAGACGATAATACCTAACATCTACGCAACACTTTTCTCCCTTACTCAGTGTTATTTCAAAAAGGATGCAGGGTGAGTGAACTCAGCAACAAAAAAATGTGAAACAACCCAATTTAAAAAAGAGCAAGAAACTTCAACAGATATTTCTCCACAGAAGATATACAAATGATCAATAAGCCCATGAAAAGATGCTTGCATTTTAACTATAGCTTCCCTTTCCCCGGGGCAGTGGGGGTCAAGGTCTTGTTTGGATTGAGAGAGGGTGAAGGAAGGTGACATATGAAAGAAAGGGACACCCATACTCTCCTACACACATTTCATATCAGAACCCTCCACTGTCTCCATTACTGATACTTTTCCAAATCCCCAATTATGGGAATTCGCCAAGCCTCTGTCCTCTATCTTCTATGCTTCTGCTATGTTTCTGACATCTCATTTGTGGTTTAACTAATAAGTTCATGGACTAAATAACCAGAGGCTATGCTAGGCATTGAGGTAATAATACCACCAACATAGCCTCCCCTCCCTCCAGTTTATATAGTTCAGTGGAGAAAATTAACATGCTGCAGCTAATTTACATCCACCCTACATCTAATCCTCCTCCTGTGTTCTCTTTCCAGGTGATTGGAACTAACACTAAACTACTTCCTACTCCAGACCCTGCAAGCCTTCCTCCCTCTGCTTTCACCAACCCCCTAACATGCTGAACCAGTCAGTCACCAAGCCCACTGATTTTGCCTTTAAAGTACTTCTCAAGTTTATTCCTCCTCTGCATCCTATTTGCCATGAGCCTATCTCAAGACACCTTCATCTCTCCTCCTCTAGACCATGAGCTCCCAGTTGACCTCCCAGCCACCACAGTATCTGTCTCAAAGCCAGTCTGACCCTGCCAACTCCCTCAGTTGCCATGATCTGTAGGAGAGTGTCTACAGTTCTTATCATCATAATCAAGGGCCCTGATAACCTGACCCTGTCAAACTCCAGCCTTAGCCCCTCCTGTCACCGTCCGGTTCCTTACATTCCAGCACCGCCCTCTGCCGTGGCTCCCCCACAGGCTGCAATGGTGTCTCCTGGCTGCCTCTAGTCACTGCTTAGAAACACCCCCTACACACACACACACACACACACACACACACACACACAAACTGGTATCTTGTCTCTGTGTTTCTATGGAAACCTGTGCCCTTCTCTCACTGTGTGTCTCTCCCACCGGTCAGAGAGTTCCTTGAAAGCAAGGACCAAGGCTGTTCTTCTTTGTGTCTTCAGCGCCTAGCACAGTAATTGCACAACGTGTGTCAGGCACTGTTCTAAGACTTTTCACACATCAATTCATTTAATCCTCGTGACACCCTATGAGAAAGGCATTATTATGGTGTCCACTTCAGGACAGTGAGAGAGTAAGCCCAAGACACACAGGAAATAGCAGAATTGTGATTTGAACTCAGGCAATCTGGCTCCAAGTATGGCTCTTAGTCACTATTCTCTGCCCCTCAATTTATATGTATTTGTTGAATGAATGAAAGATGATGATCCTTTGCCACCTCCCCATCTCAATATGTCCACAGCCAAATAAACAGTTCTCTCCCAATAGTTTCTTTTCCCCACATCTGACCTCGACTGCTTTTCCAGGTCTCAGAGAAGCCTGGAGTCTATGACTTCCACCTGTCTCCTCCATAACCCCATTCAATCTCTCATCATGTCTACGTGTTTTGTTTGTTTTGTTTTTCCTTGGAAACATCTATCAGATTCATCCTACTCTGGTCCTCATCCCTTCAGGCCAGGTGAGAACAGCAGTTTCCTGATTTCGCTACCTCACTCAGTTGGGACCTTGGGCGTTTACCTGCATTTTTGTTTAACCTTCACAACAACTCATGAAGTAAATATTATTCTTCACCTCTTATAGATGAGGAACTGAATGATAGAACCCTGCCTGGTTCAAACAGGGTTTGTCTGGATCTAAGGACCCTTCCATCTCCAGAAAGACTGGTGACCTTGGGCAAGTCACTTAACCTCCAAGAGTCTCTCAGATTCCTCATTTGTAAAATGGGGATAATAACAGTGATTACCTCATTGTGGGAGCAACTGAGATAACAGCACAGTGCCTGGCACACAGTAACTGCTCAGTGATTATCAGCGATTGAAGTTCACAACCCACATTGCATATCTAACTATGAGTTGGCTAATTGTTGTGACCAAAATGTTTTGGGAAGAGCTCTTGAACCATAGCTGAGAGGAGGTTGCCATACTCGACCCCTTTTTTGTCCCTCAACGGTGCTCTTTCCTGGGAAGTACCATATGCTGTATGAAAAAAAATTACCTTACGGGTCACTTGCAGAATACACAGCAAAAGAAAATACACCCCAGTCTGGTTGAAAGTGGACAGAACCTGTGGCTCTGCCCGGTCCACAGGAAATCTTGAAATCGCCCTGAACTTTTCTCATCTACAAAATGGGAATAATAATACCTTGTCCCCTACACACTCTATTGAGATAATGCATAAACAGCCTTTAGCCTGTTGCTGGACACATAGTGAGACCTAAAAAAGTTGTGCAACATTATCACAGTCAGATCATGTATATGAGCACGCTTTGCTGTAAGTCGAGGACAAGATGGATTTTTAAATTACGTTATCAAAATCAAATATTAAAAGTGAGTAGAGAAAAGTTAAAAGGATTGTGCAATTCAGGTACTACCTCACATCCTGAAAACCTACCTGTCTTCCCAGGAGAGAAAAGACGGCTCCTCCCCCTGAATCCTGAGGTGCGGGTTGAGAGGAAGACTGGCCCTTCTCCATCGCTCCCAGAGCCCCGCCTCCAGGGTCGAACGACGCTTGCCTAGGCCCCGCCCACGAGGAGGCGGGGCAGGCCCTGGTCACGTGAGCGCGGGTGCGGAAGTGGTGCAGCGGGCTGTGTTCGTGGTTGGCCCAGGCCGTGGGGCCTCGGGGGCGGGGTCAGGCCGGCCGGACCAGCCGGGAGGAGCTGGGGGAGGAGGCAGCGGCGGGGGCCGGCGCCGGAGTCTGGGATTCGGTCTGCAATCCCACCGAGTGCTGGACCAGCGGCCGTCCGCAGCACCCCGGACTGTGCGCGCCCGCTGCTCTGGGTTCCCCAGGCTGAGGCGCCGGCGGCTGCGGGAGGCCAGTCGGGTGGGCGGAGGGAGGATCGGAGGGCGCGGGCGCCCTGTGCGTGGAGCAGGCGTGAGGCGGCTGGGGGCCGGGACGCCATGTCCATGGAGGACCCCTTCTTTGTGGTGAAAGGGTGAGTGTCGCCGAGAGTTCCACTGGAGGAGGAGGTGGCGAAGCTGCCTGCCCGCACCTCCCCGCTCTCCTTACTGGAGGGGGGAGGGGAGACAAGTTGAGGCTGGGGAGGGGACAGTGGGGACGACTTAGCCATCAGAGCCTTGACCAAGGGTCCAGAGACATCCCCTCCCCATCCTACCTGGACTGTGAAATCCGTGCCTCCGACCAATCCCTTGGCGAGGGGGTCCCCTTTGGCCTGTGCGCTGTGGTGTAACTTATTGGGGGGGGGTCGAGTGCAGCAGCTCGGCAGGTGGGTAGGAAGACGCGGGTCCCAGCTCTAGCGGAGCATGAGGCCCTGCTTCGAAGGAGGGAAAACAGCATCTGGGCAGGAAAAGGGAAATGGCCCTCCTGAGCTTTGTAGTTGGTGTTGACGGGGGTGAGCTCCCATTGTGCATTGAGATCGGAGCGCTGGCCGGCAGACTGGTGGGACCACAGCAGCCTGGAGGCGTCCGAGCACGTTTGCAGGCTGGGAGGCAGGGGCGGTGTGGATCTGGGAGGCTGGGGAGGGTGAGAAAGCTCCGGAAGACAGCTCAATTCAGTGGGGGAGTTTTTATTGAGTCAAGGGAGGGGAGGAAAGCAGTCGTTCATACTCAATGATGATGTTGGAAGGAAAACAAAATGAAATCAGCCAAACTAAACTTTCCTCGGCTTTCTATCAGCACCGGGATTTTCCCACAGTGCTAAAGGAAATGAGTGCTTTCTTTTCATCTCCCTGATTTCATCCAGGCTCTTTGACAGGTTTCCCCACTTGTTTTTCCCTTTGAGCTGTCCTGACTCCATCTTTGATCTCTGGATTGTTTGGAGATAGAAACTTTAATAGCACTTTGTAACTGTATCAGCTTTGTAGCCATGACACAAATGCAAGCAAGATGGATTCTTATGTTGTTACCACTTGTCAGCTTTGTGTCTTAAGTGTCAAATAAACAAATCTAGGAACTACAAAATTCCCAGATGATCAGTACTAAAAACCATAAAGTGTCCCTTTGCTTTCAACTAGCTGCTGCTCGCTTCCTATTTGGGTAGTGGTGAAAGCTGACCAGGTACCTGGGTGTTTATTTTTTTAGGTGAAATGTTATTATCCATGATACAGTAAAATATATTTATACATTTCTTAACATTTCCCTAAAAAGGTTATGTTTCACCTTACTTTCAGGTTTTTCTTCACCTTTAATTATTTCCCCATCTTGACATGGCTTCTTTATAGCCTTAGTTATAGGACTTCTGTTCAGCCAGACATCAGCTGGCTCTCCAGGCTGATTGTTCTATAATTTAGTTGTAATTTTAATGTGGTCACAGGAGGAGGCGAGCATAGTGTTTATCTACTCCACCATCTTGGATCCCCCTTCGACCTCACCGTACTTTAATTTAGATGGGAAAATGCCGAATTGTAGATTTTTTAGTAATCTGTCACTCTCTACCTGGAAATTGTGTTATTCATTAGAATTGATTTAGGGATTAACTTTTAAATGTTAAAACTATGTGTTTTCCCCTGAATGAAAAGTTCTTCATGCTTAGGCTGCAAAGGTTATCACTGGCCATGGAGACCAGAGAGAATCAGAAAAATGTTGTTTGTTTGATTTTTAATGGAATTTGTGAAAATGCTAAATTGGTGTGCCATCTGGGCTTTTTTTTTTTTTTTTTCCGGAGAGTATCCAAGACAGTCTCTGCTTGCTCACTGATTAGATAGCACTGCTTTATTGGAACATTGGCCTGGAGTCTTGGTTGATTTTGACATCATTTTATTGCCCTTAATATATCTGAAGGAAATGAGATGCTGAATATCTTCTGCTGAACAAAGGTGACTTTAGCCACACGGGTGTCTCCAGACTGGCTGTGTGACAGGCTACTTGAGGAGCCATGCACTTGTCATTATTAAAAGTATTGAAAATGCATCACACAATGTAGGAAAATTAAAGCCACCTAACTGTGGCCCTTAGCCTAGTGGCTGATAGTCTAAACTGAGAAATAACTGGCCACGAAATTAGGTGGAAATGATTAAGTGCTGAAGTGAATGCTATAGAAGATAAGTGTCCCAGGAGTTTGGAGAAAGGGGACTCACTAGGGATGGTTATGGTTGGAAAAGCTTTTGGAGGTAGTAGTAAGTCTTGAATTAGGTTTTGAAGATGGGTAGAATTTAGATAAGAGTCCAGATGAGACACAGAACTGAATTATCAGAGTCTCTAATTGGTCTTCCCTCTCATCTGCCCTGGGTTCTGTTGGATCAGTGCTATACGAAATATAATGTGAGCCATATATGCCATTCTACATTCCCTAGTAGCCACCTTAAAAAGTAAAAAGAAAGAGGTGAAATGAATTTTAATGTCATCTTTAATAGGTTCAAAATATTTTAACATATGATTAATATACAGATGATTAATGAGATATTTTACTTTTTAGTACTAAGTCTTCGAAATCTGGTGTGTATTTTGTACTTATAGCACATCTCCATTTGGACATGAAATTTTCATCAGAAATACTTGATCTGTATTTAGAGTTGATTAAACTTAGAGTTGAAAAAATAGATTCACCTACCCAAATTGTTCCCAACATACTTAAAAGTTTTCTGGTAATTGAAGTGCATATCAGTTTTTAAATTTTAAATTAAAATTTTAGTTCTTTAGTCACACTAGTGAATTTCCAGCATTCAGTAGTCACATGTGGCTTCTGTATTGGGCAGCACAGGAGTCACTTTCCTAGAATCCAAGAAGGGGTTCCCTACTTAACATCACTTAGTGGCTGCCAGTTGCCTACAAAATAAAGTCCAAAAGCTTCGTGGCCTGCAGAAGCCAGTCCTCCTCTGCCCACAGCTCAGAGCTCCGGCTGTGCCTGCCTCAGTGCAGTGGCCTTGACCACTATCCTGCAGCTCAGCCCGCAGGCACCCTCTCTGTGCAGACACTCACCATGGTGTTTACACTACGGTGTAATTCAGACCTCGGTGCCTGCACCTCCTGGGTCTACTGGTCCCCTCCGTCCCCTCACCCATCCCATCAGTGTCGCCGCTCTAGTTTATCCTCTCGCCTGTTCTCGCTGGGTGAGCGTGATGGTTCCCGTTGCTGCAGGCCCTCCCTGTGTGTCTGTGCACACCTGCACCCCAGTCACTCTAACCCAACTCTCTCTCGGGTGCTTTTCTGTTTTCCAGTAATTATTCCATATTTCTCACCCTGTGGCGGGAATCTCTGCCCCTCCTTTTTCTTCTCCTTCCTCCTAGCCCTCCCTCACTCCTGACTCGGCACTCTCTCTTCTTCAGTCTCATGTCCATTTGGTCATCGTGTCCAATCGGTGTCACCACTGGGATCTCTCTGGAACCTTCTCTAATGTTTTAGTTTTGGTTCCTCTACCCTAGTTCATGTCCTTGTCCTCTCCCACCTGGATGCTTACAAGCAGTTTCTTGAGCAAGCATCATACTGCAACCAGCTATGGCCACAGAGACACCATCAGGTCATTTATCCTTCAGAATTCTTCATTCTAAACTAGTTACTGCGAGCTGAGGGCACAGGATGAGCAAGCATCCCCTTTCCTTATGGAACTCACATTCCAGGGACAAAGGAACAAACACATGGTATATCGGGGTGATCACTTCTGTGAGGAGAACAAAGCTGGGCAAAGGGAAAGCAAACCTGTATTCTGGGTGTAACTTTTCTTTTTATTTGACTTTGGGAGGCGGTGAGGTTTGGGGTAAGAGCTGAGCTTGAGTCATCAGGCTATAACCCAGGTTGGAATCTCAGTTCTATCAATTATTTGGTGTAATTTTTGGCAAGTTAATTATCCTCTCTGAACCCATTTCTTCATGTACAAAATTGGCCTAATAATACCTACTTTATTGGTCATTAGGATGAAATGTGTTCATACATGTAAATTGCCTAGCTCAGTTTGGGGCACATATTCATTGTTCAGTAAACATTCTCTATGTTTTCATCTTTTGAGAGGAAAGACCATGTCTTATTGGTGTTGTTTTGTGTGTTTTTTTTTAGTAACACTTGAAATAATGTTAAATTAATGCATGCTTATTTTAGAAAACTTAGGAAATAGAAATATTAAAAAAGGAATAAAAATTTATTGAAATGCCACCATCCTCTAATAGTTTAAAACCTTGGTGTCTTTTTTATCTTTGTTTCTATTAATGGTTTTATATGATACTATCAATCAGTTTTTGATCTCTTATTATATATGTTTATGTGCTAAGAACCCAACAGGAATTGTCTTTTTAATCCTTATGAAGTAGGTACTAGTACTATTATCATCATTTTACAAATGAAGAAAATAAAACTTAGAGAGTAAAGAAAACTGAAAGAAATACATACTTCAAGTTCCTAAGTTTGTAGGTGGAAAGGCCAGGATTTTCATATATGTGTATTATTATTAATACTCATTTTAGAAATTGGGATCATCCTGTTTTATAACCTTTCCACCTGTATTATTTTATATCCTTAAAATGTGGCAGGAAGCGCTTTTACTGACTGCATTGTATTTTGTCATGTAAATATAATTTATATGGGTAACAATATAATTTATCACCCAGGATGACATTTATGATGTTTCTAATTTTTCACTTTTATGATTAATATAGTGTCAAGCCTGCTTGTCACAAGTCTGTATCCCGGCTTCTCTTTTCTCCCATGGCCTGTATTCCTGTAACAGAATTGCTAAATCAGAGGGCAGGCGCACGTTCAAAGCTTCCAATGCATATTCCAGATTGCCCTCTAGAATACACCCCCGTCTCCCCTCGACTCCCCATCCCCACCCCATTGTGTGAGAGGCCGATTTCCCTGATCCCTTCCCAATACTGGGATTCTCATATCATCATTAATTTGCCAAGTGAAAAAGACGGTATTTGAATTGTGTCATTTTCACCTGGGAACTTATGCTGTACTTGTTTGATGAGTGAACCCATTTTAAGTTTTGGGTTCTGTAGTTTTTTCCCTTTCTTGTTGACAAACCTTTAGAATTTACAACTTCTAA